TCAAAAACGTTGAAAAACACAGGGTTCTAGAGCAAAAACGGGGCCACCTCTTCCTGCTGGAGCCTAAATATTGGGATATGTTGGGTTCAGTTTGGCACATGTTAGGCTATGTTGGGCCTATCTTGGGCCTATGCCGGGCTTATGTTAAGCCTATTGAGCCTATTCTTAGGCCTATCTTGAGCCAAGAGAACATGTTTAGCCAAATCAGGCCTATATTGGACGATGTTAGGTCAATTTTGGCCCCATGTTAGGGTCAATGTTTCGGACGCCAAAGTCGCTATCTGGAAGACAGACGTTTGAGATATGGACTTCTTGGGCTAATTTGGCTGAAATGGGACCTATGTTGGGCCAGTTTCAGACAATGTTCAAGCACAAATTCTGGGAGCCCAACCCTTCCGTGCGGGCGGTTGCCGTCGCGAAGCGACGCGAATAGTACTTGCTGCATACACTGTAGACGCATGTTTCATTTTGTTTCATTGTGTGTACTATGTACATGGAAAGGAGGGACCGGTCCTATGGACTTCTGACGACTTTCAGCTACAAGAGCATTCACAACAACTTGGGACACCCGGTTCAAAATGCCACCGCATCTTCTGACTATCGACCTCGCTTCAGCCCAGCGTCCGGACTGTTTCCAAAGACTGCTCCACATCCCAGGCTCCTTCTTCTCTAAGCAAAGCAGGACGTGCCGCTCCTAAGTCATTGTTCCACGATAGGGATTGCTGACAGAATGTTTCTGCCTTGGCCTCGATGGCTTATTTCTTGAACATCTTGCACCCGCCGGCCCGATGCGTGTGAAACAGTCTAAAGAATAAACATATGATGAACACAATTATGTGGCTCGTAATATACAAAGCACCAATGCACAAGCTCCAAATTATGGAAATTAATGCAAATTATAGCATTGGCAGTAGCAAGTTAAATGCTGGGCTGCTGGACACCAAAAATGGCTGCCACAGCCCCTGACCAACTCCGGCAACAACAAAACAACTGCTGTGACCTACAAGCAACCTGTTACATCCTGTTACCCCACGACACTAACTGCTTGCCACCAAAAAAATACAGCGAAAACACACACACACACACAAACATTGCTCGCATGTGTTATTCTTTGCAGCGAGCATCTTGCCCAATGCTTTCAATCTCGAACATGGCATCATCAGCATTCGCAACCTCTCCTTCGAAACCAAATTTTTACCACGCACAGTAGAAACACAAGAGGAACATACATTATTTTGTGCACTGGCCTCTTTAAAGGCCCTTTCTGTAGGAAATGACCGTATAAAGGCAAGCATGATTCAGGATGATGTTACAGTTGATGTTGTGGGTCATGTTGTGGGGTAGTGTCAGTGTTGGCAACAATGGTGGGCATTATGGCACTGTTGAAATCAATATGGGGGGCCTTGGAGACTACTTGCTTGAATTGATGGGGAGTGTGAATTCGCTCATCGCTCTTTGAACTTGGAGATGTCCAGTTGGGAGAACATGTGAAACACAGATTCCTTTTGGGTAAGCGTACCAAATCAGAAACAATGTTCACACCACCCGGATGGAGTGGGGTGAATGTCTGCACTCTGAACTTTGGATAGGATTACAGGATTAACTAATGTTTTTTGAGTCAGATTTTCTGCAGTTTTTCGCAGCGCCCACAGAGCAGCATTGTCAGCGCAGATTGGTCGCCCCACAGCTTTGGATTTCTTTTCAGCTCTTGACCTTGAAGTCAAGATCAATCCAGTAGATAGCTGGTAAAATGAAAAACTAATGAATGAAATGATATGGTTTGGCCATTGCAATCTCGCCAAGCAGTTTTCTTTCACTTTTGCGAGCTATGTGGCCAAAGAGAGCGCTGAAGCGATCATTTTCGAACGCAATCATTTCAACAGATTCTTCCAGCTCTGAAGAGTCTTGGCTTTCAAACCTCAGATTTGCCAAAGCAGGCTGCAGTTTGCAGTCTAATGTAGTCTTGGAACCGGTTGAGTTTATCCAGTGTCAAAACAAAACGAAACAAACCAGATTCAGGACCCCATAGCAATAGTAATCCTTTGAAACTTTGCGACGCGATGTTGACAGAAAAGTGACAAAGCCCAAGTCCCAAAAGCTTCCAAATGCTAAGCCAGCCAAGGATGAATCTGCCGCTGCCTCTGTGCAGAGTTCCAGCTCTGGTGGCGCTAGCCAAAGCAGTGGCGGCTGGTTCAGCACATGGGAATCGGAAGCTAAGCTGGAAAGAGTCTAGTGGGAGGGAAAGCAGTCAAGCAGAGACACGGCTTCCGCACAGTGGTGAACTTTTGCTACACCGGCAGCACCAATGTTTTGCTTGAAGATTAGCTGTATCCCCACATGTTTGGCTGACAGTTCATAACTTGCAATGAAGAAATGGTTTGCACCTGACAAGGATGACGAGGAGCCTATGGAGGCCACAGCATTCTCCGTTTTGCCACGGGTTTGGGTTCCAGCGCAACAAGGCTGCACCACAGAGGTGGACACGTTTACAAAGTGCAGCTTGAGTTATGAGTATATACAGATCCTTTACACACCGCTCCCGTTCCAGCTGTGACTATAGACTATACTAGTATACATACAGTATATGTTTTTGTATACACTAGACCAGCATTCATCTAGGATTTTTGTTATTTCATTAAGCTTGAAGTTTGAACACCAGGGTTCGGGGTCAATACCTAGGTATCTCGAGCTTGCAGGGATTCACAAAGGAGACTTCTCACGCAACAGAAAGACCCTTTGCAGCAGTCAGCGCCATCCCAATCAGAGAGGGGGTTCAGCGGGGTGAGAAGGCTAAGGAATGTGTCAAAAATATCCTCACGGGAATCACACACCCCACACCGGCCCACACCCGTCATTTCCTCAACCCCTCCAAAAGCAAGACCCAAGCATGCTTCCAAGGTTGAAGGTCTTCGGCGCATGTGAGGGAATGGGCACACTGGGCTACATCATGTGCCCTGGCTGGATTTATACAGTGGAAGGCCATATTCTGGAGCAGAGAAAACACAAAGAAGAAATGGGTGTTATTACCAGCCATTATTGTGTGACATTCACATCCAAACAAGCATCAACACATCGCTCGCCCATTTCTCAAACTTGATCCAAGCATGATTGCCTGACAGCAACTCGCCCGGAGCCTACTTAGGAAACACATTGAAGAGTTCACTGGCCTGGACATTCGATTGAAATTCTCTTCTGAGATATGTGCAAAGGCTAGGAACTTGTGTCTGGAAAATTTTCCATGACCCTTGGCTGAGTTTTTTTGGACTTTCCTTTTTGTTATGTACTGCTGCCCAGCATTGAGTCAGCATGCCGTTGTGATGACACCAGAAAGTAGGCAGGTGACATCAGGTGACGTTGCAGTGCAGTGTATGTGACTCTATGTGACGGGTTAAACTTACCGAGGGCGGCACTTCTACAAGGACGTTCAGGTCAGCCTCGCTGGTGACATGCAGCACTGTTGTGTGTGTAAAGCCACTCACAACACTGAGCCTTTGCTGCATTGACACAGCACGTCAGCACATCCTTTTCCACTCACATTTTTTGACACTGACAAACACTCATTTGCAAATCTGGGAATCATAAACTATTGGGGGTCCTGGGCCCTGGGATGCCCTGGGTCACATGCTGAAGGTGAATCATGACCTCGCCCACCATCTAAGGATGATTTGTCTGACAGTGACACCGGCGACGACGAATTGGACCTGGGGTTGATGGGCATACCTTGCCCATTATTTTCGAGTTTGAATTCTCGAAGTCGCATTGCCAAACGCGAGGGAAATTCCTACAACCCGTTTCTGCAGAATCTTTCTTGGAAACATTGGGTCATTGGGTGGGTAACCAATAGACAGTAGGCAGTAGGCAGGCAGCAGTAGACAAACACAGTTGTCAGTATTCAGTATAGTCAGTATAGTCTAGTCCAGTACAACTCAACCGCACAGCACACTAATACAACAATGTTAGATTGCATGGATCCGGATACGGTACGACATGCGCACATAGCTTCTTTTAACTTTATGTCAAAAGGGCCAGGGGTCCAGGGGGCCAGGGTCTTATCATCACATCATCACACGTGACAAATTGACAAATCATGTAGTAAGTAGAGGGTATAGGGGTATAGGCATAGGATTCAGGATGGTATAGGCAAGGAAGCGTGTGTGAATATGGAGTACGTAGCACCTGGTGTCACGTGCAGTTGAAGCAAGATATTCAAGTACTTAAGAAAGAGTGTGTCAGTAAAGGTCACTGAGTCTATAACTTATATGATATATAATGATATGACCGTATGATATGAGTATGAGTATATGAGTCGAGAGAAACACTTTTTTGTCTTTCATCCTTTTCACCCTTGATTTCATACTCATACAAGTGTTGAGCCTTCTTGCAATTCTCTCAGGAATGGGGCTGGTGTGGTGAAGGCTTGCCTCAAGTTGATGCGGCAACGAAACCCGAGAACCTTTGTTATCGAGGAGGCCCCTCAGTACAGTAGTACTCTTGTGAAAGTTGTTGCTCAATTACTCGAAGCATCTCAAAGCCAATCTGAGCTCTGCTGTCCAGGGTTGTTTTGCTATTTGCTTGCATCGACCAACTTGTTATGGAGCAAGTGGATGTTTTTTCAATATCCTGAGGTTGCCGGCATCCTCAAACCTTTTGATCCACCTCTTGATGGTGAGTGGGCCAACTACGAGGCACAAAGGCTGATTTTTGGAGGGCAGGAAGCTGAAACGCATGATTCTCAATTAGCACTTGACAGCAGATTTTTTTGCATTTCGTTCTCAAGAGATACATACACGGCTTAAGCACATGAGTCCAAATAAGAGGCTGGACACGACACAGGAATGGCTCTGTTTTTTTGGGGACATGTGCCAACATACTCATGTTCTCCAGAATGGTGGTGCAAAAAGCATCGTGAAGAAAGTGGCAGCAGTATATCAAGCTGCTATAAGTACCATAAGTATTGTAAGTGTAAGTTGTAAGGCATAAGCGGCATAAGGTTCTTGTAAACACTAGACCTAGAACTAAACAGAACATCTACCTACTATTACTAAGACTAGAACCACTGCAACTACTAAGGGACTAAGTACTAAGAAATTGTTTGAGGGAAGAGATGTGTGTGCTTTGCACAACAGGAAACAAGTGCCGATTGCTGTAGATAAAATTGTGACACAAACAAGCTTTGGCTGGACTGCCATGCCGCTCCATGCGGTTCATCAGCCTAGACTCCGATTCTGAAGCCACTCCAGAGGCTGAGTCTGATCATGGCTGTCATTATGGCCAAAGCCACAGTAGTGACAGCAGTTACAGGAGTCCGAGCGAGAGTGATTCTGTTCAATCCTCCAGGCATCACTCATCTCATTCCACTGAGTCACCCAATAACAGTGACTCTGACAATGACATGGAGGCCCAGAGACGCCATTTGAAGAACCAGCTTCGTACGGCAAAGGCTAGGGAGGCAGCTTTGTTCAACAAAGCCAAAAGGCGATTGGCACAGCAAGCAGTGTTGAAGCCACCAGAACACCCAGCCGATGAGTTTCGTGATCTGATCAAAGCTGATAGTGCTTTGAACCAACCCATCCAAGCCAACCAGGGAAGAACCCAGAGGTTTCAGCGTTTGAGACTTTTGGTGAGCTACCTCAAAGCTTGGGGGAAGAAAGTTGCAGCAGCATGTCTGATGGCAGGCTCAGAAGCTGATGCCAGCAATGAATCGAAAAATACAACAGTGAACCACAGCTTGACTACTTCGATCATTGACGACACCAACATGAGGTTGGCCAGCACAGTAAGCGGGGCCAATGAATTGAGAAAGTCACGGGTGGTCAGTGTGATGAACCATGTCCAGACGGTGATTTTCAACAGCTCTCAAGAAGGTGGCAAAGTGCAGCACAAGATCTTCAAGGCACACACACCGCTGGTTTGCCTTCCAAAGGCTGACACAAACAGCATTGCTACAGAGTTTGTGACACGACTGTTTTCCTTTGTTGGCAAGGTGTCTGCAAGGTTCAGGTCTTTTGGCATCCCAGAGGATTTGATGAAAGGCATTAAATGTCAAGCAACTACATGCTGCTTCGATTCTTTGAAGACAAACTTGGCCGTCTTAAAAAAGATTCGCACTGCCATCAGCCACCAGCATGTGGCACACGGGCATGACTGCATCTACCCCTTTCTTGCTGTCAAGTGCAAT